GGGCGGGACGAGGCGACTGGGTGCCGATTGGTGGCGTTGACGTCGGCCGGGTGGCGGTGGCAGGCAAAGGGTCGATGGATGGGGTCGGGAGGGAAGGAGCGAAAGCGGAGGGGGCAAGACTTTATACCCTACCATACCAGGGCAGGTGGCGGTCAGGAGGCCTGCGTGCGTAGGCACGCCCACTAACCAGCGAGCCTGCGTGCCCACGCACGCAGGCCAGCGTGGCCTCCACATTTATTTTTTGCGCGCATCCGCTTGCCCGCCTGGCCGGGCTGGCCACGCTCGCCACCTCGCTCGACGGCTTGCCGCGCCGGTGGCGGTCACTCGCCGCGATGCATCGAAGCACAGGCACACACACATACCGAGAAGAGGGAGGACCGAGTTGTGAATTCAATCACGAGCACATTGGCGTTGCGTCGTATCGTCCGACTGTGGCGATCAGAGGTCGGGGCCGTGAGCAAGGATGGCCTGCTCCTTGCGCCTGCGGAGACGGCGGACATACTGCTTCACCTCGAGGAGCGACCAGCCAAAGATGGGCTGGTAGTGGGCGGGGTCGTCGAACGCCGGCTCCGGATCCGTGGACAGGCCCGTCTTCTTGACGTCGAAGGTCGGGTCCGAGACGCCAGTGCTGTCGACGACGCAGCATTCGTCGGGGCGCTCGTCGTCGGACACGATGGTGTGGCAAAGTTCGAGGTGCTTGAGGCAGAACAGGCAGTCGACCATGGTCACCTTGAGCCAGAGCACTCGTCCGTCGACCCAGGCGTACTTGAGGCAGCCGGCGACGGTGGGCCTCCTGCAGCCGTAGCCAACGAGCGAAGACGCCATGCATCCATTGGGGTCGAAGACCGAGTCGCGCCACCACATGACCCATTCGATGGCAAGCAGCCTGGCGCGTTCGTGCTCGTCCTCGAGGTCGCTCTTGAAGAGGATCTCCTGGTGCTTGAGAGCGAGGTCGACCTCCGTCAGCTCCTTGTATACGATGCAAAAGTAGCTGATGAAGACCTTCATTTTGGACATTGTGACGAGTAGGTACAGCTGTTGAGCGCGGGTGTACGAGGTCGACGGGTGGTGTGGCGGCGGGCGGCGTGGCGACGGGCGGTGTGGCGGCGGTGACGAGCGAGGCCAGACGGGTTGACGGTGACGATGGAGCAGAGGATGGTGAGCAGAGGGAAAGCAAGGGCAGTGATGGTCAGCGACAGCGCAACGGCAGCAGAGAGAGGGCACGGGGTCGAGACGGAGGCAAACTCACAGGGAGAGACCGAGTGGTGGAGGTGGGTGGTGGTGGCGGTGAGAGAGGAGGGAGGTGCGAGCGATCTGGCTGCCTTTAAGTATACACGAGGCAGCAAGGCGAGGAGGTGCGGAAAGCGGCAAGGCAGCGAGGCGGGGAGGTGCGGAAGGCAGCGAGGCGGCGGGGCAGCGAGGCAGCAAGGCGGCGAGGTGCGGAAGCAGGAGCGCGGAGAGCAGACGAGTTGCTGGCAATCATCGGAGACTTTGGCCAGCAGATCCCCCGGCGTTTCCGATGATTGAGGGTAGCAAGCGGAATCGTCGGACTGCCCTCGACATGACGCTGGCGTGGTTGAGGATAGGCAAGCGCTAGACGGATAGGCGGCGGCTGAGTCTGAGGCTGGAGCGGAAGTGGGTGACGCCGGTGGTCGTCTTGCGCGAGTGGCGGAGGTCGGACGTGGGGATGAGGACGTGGCCCATCGAGAGCATGCCGAGGCCGCCACCCTCCTTGGGCGAGGCGAGGATGGTCCAGTGCAGGGGCATGGTGGAGTCGACGCCCGGCTTGATCCGAATGACACAATGAGCGCGCGGCTGCGACCGTTGAAGCTTTGAGATGCCCTTGTCCGAGACGCGGAGGTAGGCCGTGGCGGTGCGCTTGCCCAATGCGGCGGCGACGAGGGGCCAGATGGCGTTGCGGGTGGTATCGACGTCGCCCTGGCGCGCCTTGGGCAGCATGCGGACCTCGAAGCCAGCCATGGAAAAGAGGAGGTTGGGGTTGTCCTTGCTGTAGACCGAGCACAGCGTGTCGTCCCACTCGATGGTGGTGAGGCTGCGCAGCAGGCTGTTCTTGACGGTCCAAAAGACGGCGAGGCCGAGGTTGACGTCGTGCTTGACGAGGCGCATGCGGCAGTCGCGGGGCCAGCACCTGCGGTTGTTGTAGCCGATGAGGTTGCTGTTGTTGGGGTCCGGGTTGGCGCTGAGGTAGCGCTGGATGAGGTCGCGCGCCTCGTCGGCGTCGAAGCGGTAGAGGATGTGGATGCGGTCGACGAAGCGCGTGTAGAGGCGGATCGGGTGGGCGGCCTCGGTGGCGGCGTCGGAAGAGGCCGTTGGGCACCGCCGGCGGGCCCGCCATCTGGCTGGCGCGCTGCAGGCCGAGGATGAGGAGGTCGAGGATGAGGCCGTAGTACTGGAACACGAAGGCGCTCAACTGGAGGCCGCGGATCAGGCCGTACGTGTTGATGTGCTCCATGTCCTCTAAGACGATCGAGACGTTGTTCTTGGACGTGATGTAGTCGGCGAGGTTGTGGTCCATGATGAGGCGCAGCAGCCGGTTGAGGAGCGTCAGGTCAATCTTCTCGTAGACGCGGCTGAGGGTCGTCTCCATGAGCACGTTGCACTGGCCCTCGGACGTGTCCCAGACGCCCTCGAGGTTGTTGATGCCGTTGCACCACTTGTAGACGAGCAACGGCGCCGGTTCCGAGTCGCTCGGCTTGACCCAGGCGGGGAAGAGCTGGCGCTTGTCGGCCTCGTAGGAGGGGTACTGGTCGAGGTAGGCGTCGGTGATCTTCTCCATCGGCTCGATGTTGCAGCACGGGATGAGCTTGTCGAAGGTGTCGAAGAACTCGATGCCGACGGCCTTGGCGGCGCGCTGGGTGAGCATCAGGCGCTTGATGCGCGCCAGCGTCTCGTGCGGGTTGTCGAACGCCTGCTCGATGAGGGCGAGCTCCTCGCGCTGGCTCTGGTTGAAGGCGGCCCTTGACGCTGTACGACTCCTTGAGCTTCTCGAGGGCGAGGACGAGGATCTTGGTGTCGTGCTTAAAGTTGAGCGAGGGGAACGGGATCAGCTGGAAGCGGCGGCTCTCGAGCCAGTGGACGGTCGACGTGTAGATGGCGACGGCGGCCTCGGACGTGATGTAGGGCCCGTCCTTGAGGTACGAGTTCTGGCGCTCCTGCTCGGCCTTGAGGTAGAGGCGGGTGAGGCGGCCGAGGTTCTTTCTGCTGACCGTCTTGTCGACCGTGGCGCCGCGGCGGATGCGCTCGCGGTTGTCGTGCGTCACCGACGTCCACCCGTCGGCCTTGAGCTTGACGTAGCGCAGGATGAGGTTCTCGACGCTTGTCGGCATGCCTGGCACCTTCCACGGCGTGTTGGACTTGTAGCAGCGCCACGCCGTCGAGAGGCGCCGGAGGAGACGCGCGACTCGTTGACCTCGACGCTGGCGGGCATGACGTTGAGGATGTCGTGCAGCACGCTGGCGCGCAGCTCGAGGTCGAAGGAGCTCTTGACGCGCTGCTTGGTGATGGTCGAGACGCCCTTGGCGCGGCCCTTGCGTCCTTCAAGCTGCCTCGCCAGCAGGTCGCCCAGCCAGCGCTCGAGGAGCGGCGTGATGCCGCGCAGGAAGAACATCCACACGCGCCACGACGGCGCTCTCGCCCGGTCCCTTGCCGACGGGCCCCATGTTGAAGCGCGAGTAGATGACGTGCTTGAGGGCCTTGCAAGCGCGGATCTGGCGCATCACGCGGTACTTGTAGCGGTACATGCCGCTGAGGGTGGCGACGTGGTTGAAGAGGTACTGGAGGCCGTCGGCCAGCTGGAAGGCGTCGATCGAGCCGAGGCGGTAGGTCACCTGGCTGTCGACGAGGAGCTTGACGATGCGCGCCATCTCGCGGACCAGGTGGGAGGCGTTGCCGAAGCGGCTCTTCTTGCGCTCCTTGGTCGTCAGCGTCTTGGTCGGCTTGAGGTTGAAGTTGAAGTCGAGGTGGAGCGCCGAGCAGCCCTTGCGGTGGATCAGCAGGTCGAGCATGTTGAACGACTGCCGCGACACCTGCAGGCCCGCCTCGAGCCAGTCGATGCTCGTGTTCTGGAAGAACTTGGTGGCGTTGAGCTGCTTGAGGAGGTACTTGCGCTTCTGCGGCTTCTGCTTGCGCGTGTGGAGCGAGTTGTAGACGTAGTTCTTGAGCAGCTTCTGGTAGCTGACGCGGATCTTGACCGGCTGGTTGGGCGGGCAGTGCTCGAGGTACCACGTCTGCACCAGCGGCACGTCGACGGCGCGCCGCGTGCGGCCGCTGCGCCGGTCGTAGGGCGACGGCGCCCACCACAGCGCGATGGCGTCGGCCGTCAGCTTCGTTCTCCAGCGGCCGCTCGTCGAGGAACGGCGCCACGTCGTCCGGCAGCGAAAAGGCCACCTCGTCCGGCAGCTCGTCGTCGCCCTCGACGCCCTCGCCGAAGACGTCGTCCTCGTGGGCCAGCACCGGCGTGCCGTCCGTCGTACTCGCTCCGGAAGGCGTTGGAGCTGGCCAGCGAGCGGCCCGAGATCGGGTTGATGACCGGGTCAAAGTAGAAGGCCTGGTCGATCTCGTCGGAGCGGATGTAGACGTTCTTGGGCTCGTGGTAGGTGCCGATGTGCACCGAGCGCGGCCGGCTGTTGTAGAGGTGCGGGAAGGCCACCTTGTACTCGGTGCGGATCTGCTGGCGGATGATGACCTTGCGAAAGTCGGTAAAGTCGGTAAAGTCGTCGTCGAAGCCGTCTGTGTCCTTGTACAGCGGCTCGAACTTGGGGCCGCCGGGGATGGCCATGTTGAGCGCCTTGGCGGTGAAGAACGACTTGGGGTCGAACATGTAAAAGTAGTTGCGGTCCCCCGACGCAAAGTCGCTCAGCAGCGTACGGCCGAGGCGGTGGAGCGCCGCCATCTGCGGCAGGTCCAGGTTCCAGAACTTGTACGACGGCCCGTTGACGCGCGTGCCGTCGTCGAGCAGCGGCTTGTGGTCGTAGAACCAGTCGATGATGGCGCCGTCCTCTTCCTCGTCGAGCTCGAGCTGGATGGCCTCGAGCGGCTCGACGTCGAGCAGGTTGTCGCTGTAGTCGACGACGGGCTCCTCGTCGTCAAACGGCGGGAAGCGCATCCGCTTAAAGTGGCGCCGGTCGCGCTTCTCGCGCCGCATCGCCAGCCACATGGTCGCCCACTGGGCGTGGAAGACGGGCTCGATGACCTTGGGCACCTCGTTGACGAACGTGATGGCGCCGGTGATGTGGTAGAGCACGGACACCTCGCGCACCTGCTCCCACGGCATCGGGATGTTCTCGAGCACCTTCATCATGGCGTGCGGCACGTACTTGAGCGCGCCGAGGTGGACGCGCTTGTCCTGGAGGTACTTGCGATTGCTCATGTCGCCGTGGTCTTTGATGACCTTGCGCGGCACCTCCGGCGGCATCTCCTGCTTGCCCGTGTCGACGAAGCCCGTCTTGCCGCGGCGGTCGCCAACGCGGCGGCTCCGGCTTTGCCGCCGTGCCTTCATATTGACCTTGGACCTCTCGGTCCTCATGACGGCCGCCGTCCGACCGTCATCGTCATGCTCGAGACCCCTCTCCGACGCGACAGGAAGACGGTAGCCATCTTTTGTCCGTGCAGAAGGGGAGGGGCGCAAGCTCGACACGACGGCCTCTGGACGCCGTTACACGGGCGGTCGAGGCGAGGAGACGACGGGTATGCACGCGCGCGCATGCTTGTTGCGCCGGCGCGCCGGATCCGACTGATGGGATGGGTTGATTCAGACGCTGTGGGGCAAGGTGAAACGTGGCGAGATCAGCAAGGCAGCTTGGCTTGGTGAGTTGGAAGCGGAAGCGATCCAAGGAGGCTCACCTTCTGTGTCGAGCACGGCAACGGCGAGCGGACAGCAGGCAGCGGGAGCGACCGATCTTGAGGACCAGCGATGGGCCTCGACGGCGAGCGGGTGGCGGTCTTGCTGCGGCGGCGTGCGATCCCCTTCACTCCTCTTTTCCTTGTTCCACGCCGTCGCCTCGCCGTTCCGCCGTCGGTGCCGTCGGCAATGGGATCTGTGAGGGGCAAGACGAGGCGCAAAGGGAGAGTCGAATGTCAGCAGATTCAACAAGAGAAGCGGATCGACCGCGACGAGGCCTCACCCTATCGATGTGGACGCGGTCGACTGGCACCGGGTGCCGATGGTGGCGCCGTTGTTGGCGTCATGTGGGCGGCGGTCGGATCTGTGGCAGAGCAGAGGAGCGAGGAAAGGAGGGCGGCGGGTCAATCGGCAGGTCGAGTCGGGTGGCGTCGAGAAGCGGAACCAGCAATCGACTCACACGAGATGCTGCTGTTGCTGACAGTGCCCAAGACGAAGAGGCGAGGAGCGAGGTGCGGACGAACTTGAGGCAAGCCGGCAGCAGTATCGAGGTGGCGGCCGTGGGACTTGACAGAACGGGGCGGTGGCGGCGGTGGTGGTGGTGGTGGGAAGGAAGGAAAAAGGGCGGGCAAGCGGGCGCTCCTTAGGGGCGCAGGGCTGCCAGCGTGGCACCGCCAGCCTCCACAAATTTTCAGCCAGCCCGCCAGGCGTGGCGCTGCCACCAGGCCGCTCATCTCGCTGGTGGCGGCAGTAGGATCCAGGCACAGTCACACAGGCAAATGGAAAGAGAGCAATCAAATTTAGTGATCAATGGAGCGGTGCAAAGGCCTACGCGGCCGCATGTGTGACGAGGCGATCAGGACATGGTCATGCGAGTATGGATGTCCACCTCCATGCGCTCGCGGAGGCGGCGGACGTACTCCCTCACTTCCTGGAGCGACCAGCCGAAAATCGGCTCGAGGTGGGCCGGGTCGTCGAAGTCCGGCTCCGGGTCCTCGGAAAGGCCCGTCTTGTCGACCTCGTACGCAAAAGCAGGGTCTGCGAAGCCGTGCGAGTCGATCATGCAGGTGGAGGGGGAGCGTTCCTTGTCCACGACGATGTAGTGGCAGTGCTTGCGGTGCTTGTGGCACCACATGCAGTCGACGATGACGGCCTTGGTCCAGACGACGCTGCCCTTGTCCCAAACGTAGTCGAGGCAGCCGGCGATGGTGGGCCTCTTGCAGGTCTTGGCCGCTTCGGCGGTCGGCACGCACGCGAGCTGGTCGACGACGACTGTGTCGCCCTTCCACATGAGGCACTCGATGGCGATCAGCCTTGCGTTGTCGTTCTCGCTGCGCTCATGCCTGCACAGAAGCTTGCGGTGGTACTGGGCAAGCTCGAGCTCGGAAGAGCCCTTGTAAACCGCCAGAAAGTACTTGATAAACGTCTTCATTTCTTTCGACATTGCGGCGTTGCAAGTACAGCTGTTGAGCGCACGCGGACAAGGTGGTGCGCAATCCAGCGGTAGCAAGCAAGGACGGAAAGCGTTGGAGGCGGTGGCGGCGATTGTGCATGCGAGTGACCGGCGAGCGACGGGCGAGATGGCCAGGCAGGCATGGAAGGGGCAGCGAACGGTGGTGTCGAGGTAATGGCGTCGAGGTAGTGGTGTTGAGGCAGTGGTGTCGAGGCAATGACGTCGAGGCCATGACGTCGAGGCGGTGGCGTCGAGGCGGCGTCGAGGCAGATCAGCAGATAGGAGGCAAGGGGACAAGCAAAGGCGAGAAAGAGCTGGTCAGCATCGACTCGGCAGCGGCGGAGAGCAAACAGGAGAGCGACGGACTCACAGGAGCGGAACAATTGGGGTTGATGGTGGTGGTGAGGAGAGGAGGGGGCGGAGAGCGAGCAGCCTGGCCTGCCTTATGTACCCTGTGGCTGGCAAGTCGAGGGGGGTGTGCAGCGTAGGTGGAGGCAGAGGCGGCAGCGAGGAGCAAGAGCATTGACTCAAGCAGCGAGGCGGGACGGAGAGCTTACCTGGACGCGGGTCGAGCTTGAGTGTGGCGGCCGGCCTGCACCAAGCACCGAGGTCTGAGCGAGATACCGCCGCAGCGAGCTTGTTGGGCGGTAGGCTTGATCCTTGTGGCCTCGACGATGCCGCCTCGACCCGTCACCGGAGCCTCCAGCCGCAGTCGGATCGCATCGAGTCCAAAGCACAGACTCACACAGACAAAGCAAAGGCCAATCAAATGCATTGCAGCTCAGGACAGCAGTTCGCCGTCATCGGCCCATCGGGCGACGATGTTGCCGTGGCCGGCCGGGTCGGTGAGGAGGAGGACCGCCTTGGTGGGGTTGGGGCAGGTGCGGATGACGCTGACCGCCGGGTGCGCCATGCTGACATCGACGTAGCCGTCGAAAAGCCTCTTGTCGACGACGGGGACGAGAGGAGCGGCCGTCGAGGAGCCGCGCTCGGCGTAGAGCGTGTCGAGGAGGGAGGAGGTCGCCGTCGAGAAGGCGCTGAAGTGGTCCGACATCACGCGGATTGCGTCGCGCCTGTTCGTGACCAGGTCAACGATGCCACCGCTGGTGTTGAGGTCCCGCTGTTGGTCGCGTTTGCGGCGGTGGATTTGCTCGTTGATCTCGGCTTCCTTGCGCACGCGGAGGCGGTGGATGTAGTCCCTGATCTGCTTGGTCGACCAGCCAAAGATCGGCTCCTTGTGCGCGGGGTGGCCGTACGCTGGCTTCCTCTCGTTTGCCAGGCCGGACCTCTTGACGGAGAAGTCGCCGTGGATGCCCTTCGAGTCGACGAGGACCGTCTTGTCGGTGTCCTTCATGTCGAAGTAGACGTTGCAGCTGTAGTGGTTGAGCGTGCACTCCTCGCACTCGAAGATGACGTCGGGGATCAGCCAGAACGTCTCGTTGTTGACGACCTCGTAGAGGAGGTAGGAGTTGACCGTGAGCTTCTTGCAGTCCATGTGGCGGTTGTCGCTCTCCCGGCACGAGCGCTTCTTGTCGAGCACAACGGCGTGATCCACCAGCATCAGGTACTTGAGGGCCGTCAGCTCGACATTGTCGCGCGAGTCGCCCTTGGTCGCTTTGATTTGCAGGTACCTCTTCGCACGTCGCACCGCGTCGACGTTCTCGTACAGGTCGATGAAGGTCTGGATGCGAGGCGCCATGGTGGAATTGCAGGTTGATTGGCTACAGAGTGTGGGCGATGTTGCTACACAGAGTTGTCTGCGTGATTGCGGGCAACACGATGTGGAGGCGGCGGCGGTCGATGTGGAATCCGAGATGACGGCCGAACAGGACGATGGCGCGATGGCGAGGGCGATCCGGCAAGCCAGGCGGCGAGGCGAGATGGTGGCGAGGTAAAGCGGTCCGTGGAAGGGGGCAGGAGAAGAGGCAGAAAGGCAAACAGCCGGTCAGCGAGATGTGCGCAGCGAGGTCGAAGAGGCAGACGATCCAGAGCATACTCACAAGGGCAGAGGAGAGGGTCGAGATGTTGATGGTGGTGGGAGGGAAGGAGGAGGGACGCTCGAGAGGTCCTCCTTTATACCTTTTGACCGGGCAGGCAGAAGCCAGGGCGGTATGGGCGGCGGGCGGACGGTCAATGGCGGTGGCGTGCAGGCGGCCAATGGCGAAGGGATGCGGAGCGGGGCGGAGAAGTGGCAAAAGAACAAGGTAGAATGGCGGAGGAAGCGTCAGCGTCAAGCACAACAGACAGCAAGCCGTAGAAGCCGGAGCAGAGCGGAAGACTCACCCTGAGCGGACGAGCGCGGAAGCAAGAGCTCCCCGTCAATGGAAGCCTCGAATCATCGGAATCCTTGGAGAGCGAGTCCCAGGAGATTTCCGATGATTCACGGCTCCTATTGACGGGAGCGGAGGCGGCAGGCGGACCTGAGAGCGGCGGAGGGCTGATGGCGGCAACGAGGCGACGGGACTGAGCTCTCGGATCCGATGCCGAGGCCGACCATGCCGACGATGCCGGCGATGGCGCTACTCACATCGTAGGCCTTCGATCAGGTGGCATGCAGATTGATGCTACGAGCGGAGATGCTGTCGACGTCTATGCAAGATAACCGGCAAAAGATCACGGCAAGCAATGATCAGCCCTGGCACGAGGCGCAATGGTCAAGGCGTGAAGGCAGCCGCACTCACAGATGGTTGTTGTCTGCCCGATGAAGCGGTCAAGGCCTGCTGGAGAGAGGTCAGTAGCAGAAGGAAAGGGCATCGGCGGCGAATCGGCGGTGGTGTTGCAGGGCAACGCCACGGTCCCTCTTTACGTCGGGCGCCACCTCGCACCGCAACGCCGCCGATGCCCTGAGGCGCTGGCATCACGAGGCCAGAGCCCTCGCCGTCACGTGGGCCGGTATGCAGGGCAACCGGTGCCCGCTCCCGTCAGCCCGCCACCGCTCCAGTAGGACGACGGCGGCGCAGCTGCCATCAGGCGGAAAGAGAAGCCACGACGGGTGGGCAGCGAGTCGGCATCACGAGGCCGAGCTCGCCCAGGCCCTACTCACCTTGATGCTGCTCTAACCCATTCCACCGAGCCATCCGTGAGCAGCCTTCCGGCACCGTGGGCGTGGGTCCGGCCGTCCTGAAGCGCAGCGAGGTCGTCCAGAGTCGATCTTGAAGATCACCCGCGGGCGGTGCGTGGCCTGGAGGCGTCCCATAAACGTCCTCGCTCGGCCTGGCGGCATCACTGCGCCAAGGCCGCTGCTGACACCGCGGCGCTTGACCTAGCCGGCGGCTTCGATGGTGGTGGCGGCGATGGTGGGGCGGCGAGGTGAGGCGTGGCGGTTTGAGCTGGTGGTGGTGGTGGTGGTGGGAAGGAGCGAACGGCCTTGCTGGCAGCCGCGCGTCTTGAGCAGCCCTGGCCCGTGCCTTTGCAGAAATTTTCACTCTATCGTCGCTCGCCTGCCGCCTGCCAGCGAGGTAGGGGTGGGCTTGCCTGCCCGCCCTCTCCTCCCAACTACTATCACCACCACCACCGTCGCCACCACCGCCACCAACTCGTACGGACTCGCTGCCTCAACGCCTTTCGCCTAATGGACTCCCTCTCCCTCTCCCCCTCCAACTACCACCTGCCACTTTGGCTTGCGGGTATCTCTCTTCGTCGACGACGCTGGCCGAGGTAGGCCCGCCGCGATCGCCTTCACCTCGACAACCTCAACGTCGCGCTAGTCGCCCGCAGCAGCGCTGTCCTGCAACCCGCCCACGCTCGGCGAGACACAGGTAAGCATCACGATGACGTCCGCTGCTCAATGGTAGACCGCTGACGTCTTCCTCCGCCTCCCCTTTGCTCTCTGCTCGTTCACATCAGCTCGAATCCCGGCACCGCCGCTCCTCGACCGCTCGCATCCAGTCCCGCGCGCTCGCCTCGCGCCAGCATCGACTCGCCGCCACCGCAACAGTCGATTCGATCGGATCGAAGCCACCCCCGCTGCCGCCGCCTCCGCTCCCGCCGCCGCTGTCGCCGGCTGTCGCTTGTCTTGTCGGGCCGGGTATCTCAGGCGCGAGTTCTACCGGTCTTTATGCTCAGAAGGCCCTCGCGTTTTGAGCAGCGTGGTTGCGCACCCCGGTCCAATAGGCAGCGGCAGTTGGCGGCACGACGGCCATCAGCAAGAGCGCGATCAGCGGGCTCGGCAAAGGTCTCGGATGACAAGATCGACGTGATCCATCCCGTGAGTCGCCCCTCTTTCTGTCGCTCTCCTCGGTGCGGGTCGATACTGACCTTGTCCTCTCTCTGTTTCTTTGCACCACAGAACCGCCCAATACATCCGCACCGGGACGCTTCGGAACGCCGCCGAGTCGTCCGCCGTCGCTGCCAAGGTAGGTCGAGCGCGTCGCTTCCGTCGCCGTTGTTGGCCCGACCTCGTCTCGCTCGGTCCTGGGTATCGCGGTTGCGCGGGAACAACGGCATCCAAGGTGTCGCCCGTTGCGCTGTCGGCGGATGGGTGTCCGGCCTGGGATTGAGTCGGGACGAGGCGGCGTCGACGCGATGCTCAGGACGGCGCGCGACTGACGGCAGCGACAACCTCGACTCGCCACACTTCCGCCCGGACTCTCCATCAGCAGGTCGACATGCCAGGTTACAAACGTCGCACCGAGCCGTGTTACTGTCGGCAGTGCAATGGGCGTCATGTCCAGCGCAAGACGCGGCTGCGCCACGAGAATGAGGAACACTTTGAGCGCATTGAGCAAGAGGTGAGAGCGGGTCCCTGGACGTTCAAGCGCTTTGCAATCTAAGAATCATGCTGACCTCCTCCTTTGTCGACTGCAGCAACTACAACAGGCACGAGCGATCGCAGGAAGCCCGCTCTACGTGCAGGATGGGCCGCGCGACACAGCGTCACCATTGCGGTTGTCGTCAGCGCCAGCAGAACCCACCTCAGTACCGCCATCGTCAGCTGCACAATCGAGGGCCGCGTCACCGCCATCAAATGCTTCGCCTGCCCCGTCGCCTTCTCTTGCGACATCTCTTCGGCCTTTGTCACCACCTCGGTCGCCGGTCGGGTCGGATGCAGGCTCGCTTCCGCCCTACTCGCCACCTCGGTCGCCATCAACTCCGCCCGCCACAACGTCGCCCTCTCCATCAACGTCGCCGCCACCGCAGCAGAGCTTTAGGCTGGCGGTGTCCGACTCGGAGGAAGACGCGGAGCGCTCGCCGCTATCCCGGCTCGACCCTGCCCGCATTCTCGCTCCCGGCGTGATGGCCAGCGCCTCGGACCCGCCGCCTGCGCTTGACGATGCCCTGCCAGATTGGATGACGGCCTTCCAATGGCACGTCGTCCGCCAGCACTCGCAGCACGGCCTCTCTCGCGCCGGATGCGAGGACATGCTGCGGTTTGCCAACGACGTCCTGCTTCCGGCGTCGGGCAGCACTGCAAAAGGGCCGGTCCGCTTCCCCACGCTGCGCAGGCACCTCGGCCTCGACCGTGACCACCTTGTCCGCTACCTGGTGTGCCCTCGGCCCGCGTGCTCAAGCCTTTCGCCACCCATACCAACGGCTTGGCCATCACCGACGTCATCCGCCTCGCCGCCACCTGCTGCAAGCTGCATCCGCTGCGACGAGCCGCTGCAGCGTGACGGGCCGGTGTTCCTCTACCACCCGCTCGAGGCATGGCTGCGCGGCTTGGTCCAACGACCCGAGGTGCGCGAGGCGCTTGAAAGCTGGCGAGCACGCCCGACCCCGTCTACGCTCTTTGCCGACGCCACCCCGCCTCTGGCCGACGTCTACGATGGCGAGATGTGGCATCAAGAGCAAGCCTTCCTCAACAGCGGCAAGCCGGGCGACATCAACCTCCTCGTCTCGCTCTCGACGGACTGGTTCCGGCCGTTCAACTACACGGCCGCTTCCTACTCGTGCGGACCCGTCGTCCTGTCGGTCCTCAACCTGCCGTCGGCCCTCCGCTTCAAGCCAGAGTACCAGCACCTCGCCGGCGTCATCCCGGGTCCATCTGAGCCGTCGTGGTCGATGTGCTCCCGGTTCCTCGAGCCGCTCGTCGCAGAGCTGCAGCGCCTGCTCGACGGCATCGAGATTGGCTTGCCTGCACCTCCGCCGTCAACGGCCTCGCCCGACACCACCGCCGTCGCCGCCACCCTCCGCGCCAAGCTGGTGCTGTTCGTCGGAGACTCTCCAGCGCGTACAAAGGTCTGCGGATTCAACCCGCTCACGGTCAATGAGGCAACCTGCCCGTACTGCGACACCGACAAGGACGAGTTTCAAGAGCTCGCTGCGACCAGTGCCAAGACTACGCCACGCGATCCGGACCGGCATCGACAGGACGCACTCGCGGTCAAGGGCAGCAGCGACGCTCACCATCGCAACGCTGCTGCCACCACCGGCGCTCGGTACTCGGCTCTATACGAGCTGCCGTACTGGCGCAGCGTGACCTCTGCCCCCGTCGACGTCATGCACGCCGTCTACCTTGGCGTCGTCCGCCGCGTCTGGCACAAGATCCTCATCGACCGCGGTCTCCTCACCAGCCGTGAAGTCGTTGCCGTCCAAGCTCGGATCCGTGCTACGGTCGTGCCGTCAACGCTGGCAAAGCTCTCGGTCCACTTCGGCGACGCTGCAGGTGGCTCGCCGACAGCAGCGCAGTACGCCACGCTGGCCCGGCTCCTGCCGGCGCTGCTTCACGGCGTCTGGCACGACGCCATCGACGACTACCGCCGCCACCGCCGCACCATCCGGCATGACATGGAGAAAGGCGCGTGGATCGAGGAGGGTGATCCCGACGCGGAGCACTGGGCGTGGCTGACGCACTCTGCGCAGGCCGAGGCGGAAGCCATCCGCACAAGGACGACAACCCACGCCGCTCACTGGGTCCACAAGGGCTGGTTCTTCCGCGAGATCGTCGTGCGACTTGGCCTGATCGTCGACTATCTGCATCAGCAAGTCCTTACCGACGCCGACGTCGACACCGTCACGCTGCACCTACGCCGCCTGCACCGAGCCCTCGCCGTCATATCGCCCATCTACTACAACTCGCACATCCTGTCGCATTTGGGCCCCCAGCTGCGCCGGTTCGGACCACCGCGTGCTTTCTGGGCCTTCGGGATCGAGAAGGCGATACAGGTCCTCTCGCGGACCACCGTGCCGACCAACAAGAAGCACGGTCAGGTGGAGCTGTCGCTGCTCAAGACCTGGTCCGACCGCGGGCGGGCGGAGGCAGTCAACGGGCCAGCGGAGCAGCGCCAAGAAGGCATCGCGCTCGCCAGCCGTACCCGCGACCGTCAGAGGACGCACGACTCAAGCGTGCTCAAGCTCGAGACGGCACCGGCATCACGGAGGCCAACGCCGCTGGACGACCATGCCTACGATGGCTTCGTCGCGCTCCTACGGACCCTCCATCCACGCCGGCGCTTCGTCAAGACCAGCATCATTGCTGCGCCCGACGCCGTCGAAGTCAGTCGCGCCGTCCACACGCACGCGAGCATCTCCGTCAACGGCCTGTACTTCCGGGCATCGCACAACGACGTCCACAGTGCTCCGGGCGACTCCTTCGGCTTCATCAAGTGGCCCTCGACATCGACCGACGTCACCCTCGTCCAGGTGACCCAGATCATCAGCTATCGGCACCGGGCCCGGCCATCACAGCCTGTCGAGACGCCTGCCGACGACATCACCGCAGTCTGCGTTGTCTGCCGGCTCTTTCCTCCGCCAACGCAGCTCGACTGCTTCGACCTCGGCACCAGCAAGCCTTTCGCCCGGCCGTCCTCAGTCCAGCTCGAAGTCACAGGCACCGCCGTCTTCCCCGCCACCGCCCTGGTCGCCCACGCCGCAATCACACCCGTACCTCGATCCGAACATGCACTCGTCAAGATCATCAATTGACTCGGCCATGTGAGTACAGTGCTGCTGCCCTGTGGCTAGAGGCTGGTATCGCGTGTTGTTGCTGTTGCGCCGTCGGCGCTGGTATCGTGGCTGCTGTTGCGCGCTATCGGCGCTGGTGTCGATGCCATCCCTTCGTCGATCCACCTACTGACGACCTCCATCGCTTCTTCCCTGCTCCTCGCCACCGCCAGCCTGAACCGGGCTCAACTCGCCGCCGCCCCACTTCCTGATCGGCTTGCCCGTGCCGCTGCCCCAAGTATCCGTGCCCACGTTCTTGAACGGCTTGCGGTTGCGCTGGACGTTGGCGCACGCCTTGCGGTTGCAATCGCTGGCCTCTTTCCAGTCCTCCGCCACCATCCAACGCTGCACACTCGAGGGCAACTTGAAGTTGGGGTCGGAGTCGAACGGATCGACAACCCAGTTGGGCCGAGCAAGGGCGTGACCAGGTGAGTGTCCTCGCTTGCCTCGGGTA